AAGCTCTTTTCTAATTGGCGATGATTATGTTGATTATAATATCAGCTGCTAATAAATATCAAGAGTTTAGTAAGTGCTGAGAATATGAGAGCTTTTTATGCATCTTTTCTGTAAGTCACATAACAACTCTATGAAATATAAATATTTGAAACATAGATAAGGAAACTGAAGCAAAAAATGTTAAATGGTTTACCAAAAACATAGATAAAATAATTTATGTCGGCAGGGTTATAATCCAAGTCAGTTTTGTCTTTTACCTGCTTTTGCTGTAGGTGCTAACTTGCATAAGAAGTGTATTGTTTTTCTCTTTTATAATCTGGGAATTCACAAAGTTTAGTGCTCAGACTGCATTCTACTTAATCCTCATTTTAGAGTTAATCTCTAAATCGACATTTCTGAATTTCTCGCTATCTTATGCATTCACAGGTCTTGTGAAAATTAATAAACAGTTTTATTAGAATTGTTATTTATATATTGACTTTGATTTCACTTAATTTCTTGACTTGGTGACTTCTTAAATCTGAACCCCAGCCCCACAAAGCCAGACTGCGATTACAGTCATAGAGGAAACCCCCCCCCCCCACCTGGGAGGGGCGGTGAGAATCAGGTGTCCTGGCTGATTCCCTTGTCAGGCAGGTGATTGTCTCTACCCAGGGGTCCTCTGGTTCTGCTTCTCCATTTTGTGGGTCTAAGGCCTAGTCTCCAGTTGCCACAGAATCCAAAAGTAGTCTCTACATCAGCTCTGCTCTTGAACCAGCACTGGCTTCCTGTTCAAATTTCACTTAATTGGTGGTTTCAGCTTACTCCTTGGTGTTCTTTCTAGCCCTTAGGGATTTCCTGTACTTCCTTGTGAATTCTGGTTGCATTTCAAGTATGTTTGGGGGGCAATATGAGGCAGTTGGAACGTACATGTTCTCCTGGGGGGAGTGGAAATTGCTATAGCCACTTCTGAAAGCGCTTTGCAATATATACTAACATAGAACATACGCATATCTTGTGACCCAGCAGTCCAACTCTGGTTCATACACTCCACAGGAATGTGGGCCATAGTATCTACCAAAGGACCTTGTGCTAGAATTTTCATAGTAGGATCCAAATGTCCATCCATAAGAGCTTAGGTAAGTAAGGAAATTGTGGTATATTGACATTAGAGAGTGCCACATGGTAATTTTAAAAAGTGCAAAACAAAAAGATGAACAATGACTACTCCCAACACGTGGATAAAATGTATAGACATTATGTTGACTGAAACAAGCCAAATATAAAAGTATGTCTGCAGAATGATTCCATTTATATAAAGTTCATTAGCAAGCTAGCCAATCTCTAATACTAGAATCAAAATAGTATATACCTAGGGGGCACGGCATGCGGGGGAAGTTGGGGAGAGAAGGGAGGGGGCTAGAGATTGAGATGAACGCTTACAAAGTGCTCCTTACACGAGTATTGCACTTTGTGATCATTCTTTAAGCTGAATACGTGTGTACTTTCTATGCGAATACTATATGCTTCAGTAAAATATTCACATAAAAAAAGTGTGTTTTGCCAAACAGAAAGTGTGTGTGTGTGTGTATGTTTAGGGAAATGATGAGAAAGATGTTGCTTGTTTTGGTTGTTAGTTCCTTGCCATAGATTCTGGTCTGTTCAGTTTTGTGCTTATTCTTATGAGAAATCAGGAAACAAAACATAATGTGGTAAAAGTTGAGCTAGTAGAGTTCCTTGGTAAATATCCGAAGGTAACATCCTGCTGGACAGTTATTTATTAGAAATGTTTGCATTTATTTCTACTTTGGTTTGGAAAATAAGACTTGTCAGTTTGTAGGTTACTGATATTTTTTGAGTGAAGATTTCCTTAAGTAGCATAAAAGAAGAAAAGCTGAAAAAGAGAGGGAACATAACTTCAATATCTATTGGGAATGTTTTTCTCAAAATACAACCAACATGGTCTTTATATATTTAATATTTTAAAAAAGCAAAACAGACACAATAAGATCTGAAATTTTAAAAAGTGCTTACGAAGACTCTGGGACAGAATTGTTACAATTGGAGTCCCACACTCACATGATCAGGAAAGCAGTTCATAGTCCAGTATTCAGCAAGCAGCATCCAGTTGTAGCAAAAGCCCTTTTGCTTTATGTTGTGAAATTAACATTGAGGGATACTGTCTGGCGAAGTCAATTTCTTTCCTAATTTCACTCTGCAAATTGGGTGATTAGTAAACTGATTTTTTTCTCTTGAAACATAAGAGGCTGTTCTGTGGAGCATTGTTTTGATCCTGTGATTCACAGTTCAATGAAGCATTCTTTGCTGTTCATTTTGGGACATTGTTTAGTTTGAGTTGCTGGGGAATTCCTCATTTGTTTGCTGTGGGCAAATGACTTTTCCCGTGGGGTTTTAGCTCAAGTCTCTTAATTTGGATGGAAGGTAATAGAGCTCTTGTCTTTACAGAATTGCCTAGAAATTCTGTGTAGGCATGGCGGGCTTGAGCCAGAAAGGAGAGATAAGTGCGGTCGGACTGCACATGATGTGGCCACTGATGACTGCAAGCATCTGCTGGAGAAGCTGAGTGAGTGCCTTCACAGCCCCACTGTTCATCCCGCATCCACAAAGCAGGGCCTCTGGGACCATGGGAAAAATATTAGTGCAACTCAGTATCTCATTCTCTGTTTAGCTTTCTTTGAACCCGAGCTGTTACAAAAACACTTTATTGATGACAACTGTGGTAATTTTTCCATGTAGAATTGCTTTTTACAGAATGAGTTGCTATTCAAATAATGCAAGATCTTCCTTGTATTTTACTTACCTAGGAAAGCATTCTAATTCTGACTTAGGGTATCACTCTTTTCTTCTGACTTAGGTTGTCTTTGTAGACATGAGTCTAACAGGGTATGAGAAATCATGGCTAGATACTTTGCCATTAGCTGGTTGTATGAACCCAGGCAAGCCGGCTGTCTCTCCACATCTATTTGCCTACCTGTCTATGAAGATAATTGGTGATCTTTTTGGTTCCTTCCAACTTGAAGAATATGTGCTCTCAGCACATTTTGTGAAAGTTTCATTTGTGGGTTCATGCATACAAAATAGTATGTATGACCTCTTATGTTGAGATTATCACCTAATCCAGTAGACATAGCTAATTCATTCTAGAGTATGTAAGATGGTATTGTGCACTATGGAAAACATTAAGGGAGGTTGGGAGGGTTGGGAATGGGAGTTTTTAAAATGGGTTTGGAAGTTTCAATTTTTAAATGATGGACAGGGTTGCCTCCACTGATAGCTAAGCAGACACTCGAAGGAGATGAGGAACTTTCCAGGCCAAAC